GGGTTGGCTTCATTTTTCAGGGCCGGTTGCTACGTCCATCTTTTATACAGTCTATGGAATCGACACACTGACTTGAACATGTTTGCAGATAATTTCATTGACAGATTTGGCTAAAACAAAGTCACAGGAAAAAGGTCTGACCTGCGTGGCTTGCGGATGTCCCACAGTCCGACACCTTCCTTGGAGTTGGCTGTAGCGAGCAACCTGGGCTCCACAGGGTTGAACATCACGCTGTGGAAGGCTGACGGGTAGCTGGCCAGGCAGAAGGGCTCTACAGGAGGAGGTGGGATGCACATAAAAGTCAACAGTTAAACTTCTATGATGGGTTTTGGAACTTTTTTATTCAGAAACATGCAAAAAAAAATACACTATTTCATCATGTAATGTTGAGATCATGCAGATTTTGGACTCTTAAATAGCAGCAGGAGGCAGTGACAGATCAAAACAGTCCTGATATTTACTTTTATGACCCGTTACATTCTGATCTCTAACTGAACGGATAATAAACCAATCCTATATATGGCTCCACCATCTGAGGTTCTTCCATCCATTCAAACTGGGACCTCAGCGCCGCAACGAGCCGACATAAAAACCCCGCTGGCAGAGATGGAAGACAGATCTCTGCTAAATGTATTATTAGGCCGACTCGGTCACAAGGAGGGCTTCTAAAATAGAAGGAAGTGCACGTCATGCAAGATGATCCACTGCATTTTTAAAGTTATCAACAGGTCTCTCATCACGGAGTACTAAACACCTCTTTTCAGTCCAACAGAGTCACTTAAAATACGCCGCGTGGCTGCTTTTCAATTACAACCATTTGTCCACTGGAACCCACTCATTTTCATTAATTAAATCCATGTTATAAACCGATTGGACGTGGTTTGGATTGTGTGAGCGCTGACCTCGCAAATATTTATCTTCCAGTGCAGGAAATAGTTAGATTTTTAGATTTTCTACGACCACCTCTTAATCCATCCTAATCCTCTCTCATTGCAGCAGAGCATATTTTCAGACTGTGTGATTGTGAGTTATCTGGTGCTTTATATCCACACGTCTTACGGTCCTAAGCGTGCATTTTAAACAGGGTGCAGTTTTGATTTAATCCTTGGCATCAATAAGTTATTATTCCCTCCACTGTGGCCGCTTTACACGCCTGAAATACGCACTCGAACGCATAAATTAACAGTTTAAATCAAGTTTTTCTGGTTTTTTTTTTTTTGGACTTCTGAGGATTTAATAAAAACTGATTTCTTACTTAATCCACGTCCTCTTACCTCCGTGCGGCGGCTCGCGAGTGTCCCAGATCAGAACTCGGCCGTCGTCGGATGAGCTGGCGAACACATTGTCGTTAACCGGGCTGACGGAGAGGCTGTACACGGCGTCGATATGCAGGAACACGTTCAGAGTTTCCCTCCTGCAGGAGCAACAATCATTCGAATGTTAATCGTCTTGCCGAGCGCGTCAGCCGGCTGTTTGACCGCTGACCTTTTCATAACGGCTCAAGTGTTTCTGATGCCACGGTGACGAGTGCTACTTTACCCACCTCTCCACGTCGTGAAGAATCACCTGCTCGTCGTTTCCTGCGAAAACAGCAAACAGAGACGAAGGAAAAGTTTTAATCTCCGACCTCAAGGCTAAGATGCAAAACGGCCTCGTTCTGGAGGTATTAGGCGGTATGGTTAGTTAATTCCTCATTTGCATCGCAGCTAGACGGTGGACGGTAAGCACAACTCACCACCGAAACTTCGTCATTCAGCAACGCCTGCATTAAATTTTCATCTTGCTCCATCCATTATTCATACCCAGAACCATTCATGTGCAGTCAAACAACTACTGACTTTTCGCAACCACTTAAATGCACACAAAAGCACCCGATAAACATTTACTCTGTTTGAATGCTTAGTGGCCAATAAACACGAGTACATCAATGGCTCTCACTGACTTTTAAAGACATAGAACGCTGATATCATGGAGCTGTTGTTTCGTGTTTTGCATCTGATAAAAAACAAAGAGTTTAGAACAACAAATAGTTGAACTTAAACATTTATTGAATCCTATTATTGTCTTTGTTCACTTAAGTATGTCTGTTTTCATGTTTTATGTCAACGTATTTTGCTTTACTAGTTGAATTTACAAGTTAGGGCTGCAAGGTGGTGCAGTGGTTAGCACCGTTGCCTCGCAGCAAGAAGGTCGTCGGTTCGCATCCCAGTGAGGACACCTGGGGTCATTCTGCGTGGAGTTTGCATGTTCTCCCCATGCAGCGTGGGTTCTCTCCGGCTTCCTCTAACAGTCCAAAAACATGTTGAGGTTAATTGGTGATTCTAAATTGTCCGTAAGTGTGAATGTGAGTGTGCTTGGTTGTCTGTCTCTAAGTGTGGCCCTGTGATAGACTGGTGACCTGTCCAGGGTCCTGAGTCAGCTGGGATAGACTCCAGCCCCCCACGACCCTAGTGAGGATTAAACGGTGTATAGATAATGGATAGATGGAATTTACAAGTTTTATTCCATCTTGATGCTGCCAATCTGACAACATGTGCAGCCCTGAGGTTTCTTTTTACACATGCTATATATCAATAAAGTAGATTTAAGTAGATCTGCAGTGCACTTATTTGAAATTCTAACTAAAAATAACTAAATAAATGTTATCAGCAGTCAGCAGCGTTTCCTGCTGGTCTGGTAAACGTACTGACGCTTCATCGTGCACTAAGTGTAGCACCACACTTTGCTGCTGTTTACAATTTTATTCTAGCTCATGTGATCACGCCACATTTCACTGTGCATCAGCTAATTTAGAATTTTAACAAACAGTTGGTCTGCTTAAGGACCTGGCCTGCAAATCTCTCTGCTAATTTTAGACTTAATGTCCCATTTCAGGTCCACAAAGGCTTCTGTCTCTCCTGCTCAGTGTGTTAAATGTTTAGTTTGTCCAACAACATGTGTAATAAATAGTCATCTTAATAGTTTCCAGCGTCGAAGGCGAGGCTTAAGTGTGGCTCTGCACCATTAAAGACAACATCATGTCTGTCAGACATTCCCATGATAATCAGCCGACGCTAAGCTGGTAATCGGCCAATGTAGATAATCTCAAAATAGCATTTAATCAGCCTGATTTATCAGATGAGCAATTAATCAGTCTGTCATTACTGCTAAGGTTTCTTTCAAGTCCTATTTCACTTAATATGCGAGGGAACTTCATCTCACTCTCACCTGGAAACAAGATGCATAAACTCCCATTTTGGGGCATAACTATAAACTATGAAGTCTTCATCACTGTCCACAAAAACTCAAATCGTTGAAGCAGTTAAAGAAAAAGAAGAGGAAAGCCTGGAGCTTGTGTGTTGCTTCAGGACAATGAGTCCGTCCACACAGCACAGAAGCAGCTAAATGTGGCTTTAAACTGTTGCTCCATGAACCTTTACTCAATCTCAATCCTGTAAAGTTTTCCGGTGAGGTCGAGAAGTTTTCCAAGTTCCCTCCAAAGTATTTTTTCCCCATTTATTCCACTGGCCTAAACCTGCAATGACTGACGTTTGCCACATACTGCAGTTTAAATTAACTCCCTTTCACTGTATTAAAACATCAGTCAGATCGACCTTTTACCGACAGGCTCCAAGTCACACAAACTCTTCCTGGTCAACGGTTACAAAGATGAATATCTGTGTTATTGTGGAAAAAGCCTGCAGACACATCACAGGGGGCTGTGCCTTTGTCGTACCTCCAGAGAAGACCTTCTTGTTGGTGCTGTCGAAGGCCAGGCAGAAGATGTTGGAGAGGTGCTCGCCCTTCAGTTTCACCGGCTTGGACCGAGCGTGGATGGCTTTCTCCATGTGCCACAGAAGCACCCGCCGGTCGTCTCCTCCTGCAGCCAAAGACAAAGTTAGAACAATAAGCACTGTTGTCCGAGACTTTTTCTTTGACTTGTGACAATCTGAAGTGAAGCGTTGTCAAAGGCTGCAGACTGATAGCTGATGCTCTTTCTCACATGTTGGTTAATTTCAACTTTCTGGAGCTCTCAGAGGAGGTCAAACTTTCCTTTTACTCAGAATGACTGGAAACTAAACCGCAGCTGTTTTGCTTATAAATTATTTGCTTAAAAGTCATTTTTTAAAGCTAAGAAAGCACCTACTTCCTGGTTCCTACTTTCCAAATGCACTGCTTCTCAGATAGAACACTGTATTAACTTGGCAGGCAGGTAAAAAGCTTACCGTTTTGCATGTTTTTTCCATGAAAGTTGAAGTTGTTTTCTAATTTTGTGTAGTGAATGTGGACATTTACAAAGCATCATGTTGTATATCTGTACCTGGCAGTGTGCATTCACGATAAAGTGAGCTGAATAATATGACACCTGACTGGTTAATCAATGAGGGCATATATAATTATACATTAACTCCACTGCAGGAGAGACTTGTCGTTCTCTGCTATTAAACAGAATAAAATATGTGCTTATATCAATATCAGCATCAGCCAAAATGAGTTGGAAAATATTGGATATTGGGAAAAATCTAATATGGTGCTCCCCTCTGATTAACAATACATAATCAATCACTTTAAATATGAAGAAGGTAATCATTAGTTACAATCCTGCCCAATATAGTTTGAATAAAAACCCTGCAGCTCTTCCTTATGAAGCTATAATCACTGATTTTTATGTTTTCTTCAACAATTACTCTCATCATCAAAATAGTTGGCAATTAATTTAATAGTGAACAACACTGATTTGATGATTTCCTTTAACTAAACAACAGCTAATTGGTTCAATAATTAAGAAAATAATCATTAGCTGCAATGTAATAACACAATATGATAGAAATAAAAACTGTAGCTCTCCCTTAAGAAGCTGGAATCAGATAATTGTTATATGTTGTCTGTAATAATTACTCAAACCAATTAAGCAATTAACAAAATATTGTGAGATTAATTCAACACTTGACGGCTCATAGAATAACTGGCTAATCTCTGCAGCTCCAGGCTCCACTGATGCTGCATGTGGAGCAACATCTAAACAGGAATTGACATTTTAATGCACCTCCAGAGTGAATACTTGCACTCAGCTTCCAAAGCAGAGCCATGTTTCCAGAGTTAATGTGTTAATGGCTGCATCTGACCTGGTCAGGTGGAGAGAAGCTGATCAACTGGAATCTAAATAAACTGCAGCTCCACTGTGCAGAGTAAACAACCTCAGTGGACCCAAAATGGCAAGCCACAGGCTGTCACAGTAGGCCAGATGATTGTTTTTAATCCTCTCAGGACATAAATAGCTTCGCGTTTTCAGCAGGTCGCCATGATTGGACCCGTCGGGACGTGAAAATGTGCAGCCGAGCGGCGGCACTGATCGTCTTCTGGGCTGACATCTGCTGCCCTCCGAGCCGCCGCTCCACTGTTTGGCAGGACGCTAAGCTAGCCAGTTAGCGTTAGCGGCTAGGCTAACTGCGCTAGCCGGGCAGGGCGCTTCAGCTGACCGCCGGGCTAGCTAGCATGCTAACGAATTACAACAGTGGGAGCTAACAGGGGGAAGGTGGGTCTGACAACTTACCAGACACCAGCCATTCTCCGCCGTTGTTGGAGAACTCGATGGCGTTGACACAGCCGAAATGTCCGAGCATGTCCTTCTTGTAGAGGCTGGTGCAGCCCGCCAGCCTGCGTCGCTGGAATTCCTCCTTCATGAGCGGCTGCCCGGTGAGCTCTCTGCGGGACAGAAAGCCCAGCGAGGAGCGCATACCGCAGCCCTTCAGCTCCTTCATTTTCACCGTGCAAAAACGCTCCCAGCTCGGCTTTTTGTGTTCAGCGCCGCGCCCCGGACATGTGCTGGAGTCGTAGGCTGGATGTGGCGGCGTGTCGGGTCTACATTATGGAGGGGAACCCAGCCCGCTGCCTGCCTGCCTGCCCGCTGCCCGCTGCTGCCCGCTGATGTCGTCGCTGGTTCGAGGCTCCGGTGTCTCCTGGTCGGTCCCAGCAGCAGCAGCAGCAGCAGCTTCCTGCTCCGGCGGAGGATCTCTCTCTCTCCCCCTGTCTGTCAAACCGCATCACCGGCGGGACTCCGCTCCTTTAATTCCCAACAAGCGGACTCACGTTTCAGCGTCTCCTGAGTCAGATCAGAGCTGTGAGGTGAAGCTGAGCTCTGCTGTGTCCATTCATTTATTCATTTATTCATTTATTCATGATGGCATTCATGCAATAATAAGAACAAAATATTCCAAGTGAAAATGTGGTTCTTTTACTGGTTGGAAAGTATTATGAATGAGATAGCACTAATACCTTTATTTATACAGCACTTCTAAAATAAAAAATAATTTTAAAAAAATTAAAAAGTTAAAGCATTTGTTATGTTAATTTACCTATGTAAATTTAAAAGTACAGTTAAGACCCTAGAATAATGTCTATAATACAAATTTACCTATATAATTTAAATATTACGACACAATATTAAAAGTTATGCAAATTTATATGCAGCATATAAATATTAAGTGGAATTTACCAAAGTAACTTCAATAGTAAGCTTAAAACCCTACAATATGTAATAAAATACTCATTTATGTGACTAATTTAAATGTTATTTTGGTTTTTAGTTCCAGTTTTAGCACTTTGAGATTGTTTTTACAATGTAAAGGGTTTTTTTTGTTTTTTTTTAAATAAAAAACAAAATATCATGAATAAGACCGTGTCATATTAATAATTATGGAGACTGACCTGACTGATGTGAATATGAAAGCTGGGACTCTAATGACACAATTTTACCCCCAAAATGTAAATAAATAAATAACTTCAAGATCATACAGTTTTATATGATGTGAGAATCTACCTGAGAAATTAAACACTGTGGTTAAAGTCTGAACTACAAGTGTACATAACACATTTGCAAATCCACCTGCGTAATTTAAATGTTACATGTAAGATAATTTACCTGAAAAACTTCAATAGTGAGGTTAAAACCTGACAATACTGAATGGAATACACATGTAGTTGTGGTTAGGGCCTTACAATAATAACAATCATGGAAAATTACCAAACTGATTTGAGTAATAAGATTAAGACAATAACCTATAATATTAATATTTATGCAAATTTATCTGATGAATCTAAATCTGAAGTGTATCACCTTAGACTGTTATTTATGTATAGACCTTACAACATTAGTAACTGTGGGCATTTACCTGAGTGATTTGAATATTAAAGTTAAGATACTACAATATTATCAATCATATAATTTCCCAAAATGATTTTTAAAATTACTATAAGGTCACACAGTTTTGTATAATATGAGAATCTACCTGAGAAATATAAATACTAAGGTTAAAGCCCTACAATATTAAATGAAATACAAATTTATGTTTTAAAAAAAAGGCAAATCTACGTGCATAATTTAAATTTTAAATGTAAGATAATGTACCGGAGTAATTTCAATAGTCAGGTTAAAACCCTACAATAGTGAATGAAATACAAATGTATGTGACTAAATGTTATGGTTCACATTGTACAATATTTTTATTTATGCAAATATAAATGGCTCATTTAATATCTCAGTGAAGACGCTTCCGTGTTATGTATAATACAAATTTACCAGTTTAATGTAAATGTTAAGATTAAAGCCCTACAATATTAAATTAGATACACATAATATTAAGGTTAAGACGCTACAAAAATGAATGAAATAGTAATTTACAAACATAATTTAAAGGTTTAGGTTGAGCTGTTACACATATTAAATATAAAATATGCAAATTTACATAATTAATTGTAGTATTATGATTAAGATCAGGTGTTTTAGTATTGTTTAAAATTTTGGATTATATTTTTTCAGTTTTCTTTCCTTTTAACTGTACATTAAAAATGTTAAATATGAATATAATTTAGCAAAAGAAAAAGTAACAAAATGACCCAAAACAGTGTATAAATCAGTTCAAATGACTTCCACCATGAGCACACACAACATTAAAGTCTAACTTAAACAGCTCATGAATGGATCAAAATATAATATATTCATAAATATAACACTCTGTTAAAGGTCATCCTGCATCACAAACACAATTTACTTTTTACACTTGAAGCTTGCGTATAATTCTGATTGCAATATTTTTGTATTGTAATAAAACATTTCTCTTTCTTGCTCTACTGCTGCTATCAGACGGGTGTCATTTATAGAAACAACACCAAAGAGAAAAGAACACATGAAAAACAATCTCACCACAAAGTCACTCCAGCTGCTGCTTTCAATCACATCACGCCATCTTTGTGCAACCGTAGATGTTCAAAATCGTATTTTTTTCTGAGCAGCGTGAGGCTCAAAGTTTATTCTTGACCTTGGAAACTGCAGCTGAGTCCATTTAGTTTTCCTGATAAAGATGGTGAGATATGACTGACAGATGTGGACCTTGTGGCCAGATTATTTTCTCAACTGCTGCTTTCAAGGTCAAGAGTGAACTTCAGACCTCAATAAAAAAAAAAAAAACCTTTTCAAAGCATATTTTCTTTATAATTCACAGCTGCGACGCTGATTTCATTAAAATTCTCCGCAGAGATTAGAAACTCACACGCGGAAAAGAAAAGTACATGTTAGTGTGTATAGTAGTTTTATTACTCCCAGTTTCTTTTGGGATTACAGTGGTAGTCTTTAGGGAACTTTCAGTTTCAACAAGCCTTTTTTTTTTTCTGAGACGACATGAAAAACCAAAAACATCTAAAACATCCTCTACATACAGAAACAAATGTACGCTCAACATGAATGGGCTGTACCGTCGGTTTAACTACCGAGTTCTCCTCCTTTCAGTGACTGCAAAAAAATCAGTGTGCTGCGTTGAGATATTTTCTTGTTGTCGGACCAGAATCAGCACCATTTCAGCCAGGGATAGTTATTTATATTGATTTGTCAAAATTAAGCAATTTAGGCACTTATCAAGAAATTGGCAAAAATGTTATGAAGCTACTGAAAGAAACTTTATAAGCAAAAAATGCATTTTTTTTTCTTTTTTTAGTTTTATGCTTAACAGTCAACTGAAGATGGAGCCTACTGACGTACACCACAGACACGTTCTAATCTAGCCTCACGAAATATTCAACTAAATTCATCTAAAACAGTCCGACGAGGCCTCACGCTGAGCTTTATTATGCAGCACCGAGGAGATACAGATGCTTGGTTCACTTTGCATATAACCTAAGTCACCACTGTTTGTGCTGTAGTTCAGCTCAGATAGAATAATAATAATAATAACCGGTCGTACCTGCAGGTTCCCAGTAGGAGGGAAAAAGGTGTAACACACTAATCTATAATGGACAAACATTTAAAAGTGCTTTACATTAAGGTACCTTCAATACATTCACCTCTACGTTATGAAGTCAACTATAATACCACACAGGTAATGAGTGAGCTGCAGCTGATGAGTAGTTCCTTTGGCAAAAGTAACGTTTGCTTTGAGCAAAAGATACGGAGTGTGTCGGAGGAGTGTGTGGGCTCAAAGGAAGGAGAGTTCAAATGGACGTTTTAGGAGGAGAAAACGGATCTTAACACAGAAGATGCACAATTTGAGTCATTTTAAGATTAAAGGAGCAGCTTGACGTTTTAAGAGATTTGCTTTCTTGCTCAGTAAGATGAGAAAATCAAAACCAATACAACTGATTGTTCTATACACAAGTACGCACTTGAAAAAATGTGCAATAATTACAACTAATACACTTCCTGCAGCGAACTTTACAACAGAGTGTAACTTCTCATGGCTGCTGCTTTTGTTCTGGAAGCATTAACGAGGAGGACATTCGACTTTTTGACTCCTAATTGATTCTGGATGTAAAAGAAATATCTGTTAAATATTCTTTTTCATAGTGACACCAGAGCGATCCTTTAACGGAGGCCCTGTCTGAAAATGTTTGGCTTTTTCAGTTTAGATCTCGTTTCGACCTAATTCCAAGTGAAATTAATATTGTGAAGTGGACATTCTCTGTGATACATACCAATAAACTAATCGATTTTTTACTCTGTGCAGTACCAGCAGTAGTTGGACCAAACATAAAAACATCCTTGTGTATTTTTGCGGGGCAACGTGAGGACAGCACAGAGAGGATAGAATCAGGAAACCATTTAGCGAAAGGGTGGCGTTTCTTAGAGTCGATTTAAATCCCAAACTCTGACCAGAACCTCCTCCAGAGCAGGTTAGCTGTGCAGCATCAGTTACCATGGCGATCGAGCAGGTTAAAAGAGAGCCACTTCAGAAAACTGGTTTGTAAGCGTCCTATGAAACTTCACCTAGCAAGCAGTTAGCTTAGCTTAGCCTCGCACAAAGACTAGAAACAGTTAGCCTGGCTCAGCTTTTGTACAGATTGAACAAACAAGATATATAATGCTTTAATCAGTGAGCTTTAGAGATGCTGGTAGGAGGGTTTTGTTACTTTTGACCAGAGCCAGGCTAGCTGTGTGCTGACAGGCTGTTAGCTTAGCACAACAGCTAAGTATAAAACTGTAAACAGGAGAAACAGCTAGCAATTCTCTGTCTGAAGTTTTAAAAATATAATTTTTGCTTTTGTATACAAAACCTAAACTCCACAATTTATTTATTTATTTTTTTTTACAGAGATTATGCGTCTAATTACTTTCTATTAATCTACAATAAAACCAAAGTTCGTCACTTTACACTTTAATTTGAGGAAGCAGAGAAATGCTAGCTTGGCTCAGTTTGTGTACGGGTTATTTAAGCAAACAAAAAGGACTAATTAAGTGAAACTGATGTGCTGGTAGGCAGAATTTGTCACCATCAGAAAGAGCTAAGCTAGCTGTTCCCCCTGTTTCCACTTTTTATGCTAAGCTAAGCTAACTAGCTGTTAGCTGTAGCTTCATAGTTATCCTACAGACACGTGAGTGGTGTCAACCTTCTCATCCAACTCTCAACAAGAAAGCAAATAAGTGCGTTTCTCAAAATGTCAATACGTTCCTTTAAGTTTGTAGGTAATCTTGTGCTATTAATCTGTTCCTAAAAGCAGATTTTTCAGTTTTAGCTTCTCCTTTTTCATCTAATTTTCGTCCGAACTCTTTAAACCTTGAGCCAGTTTCTCAGGAGGAGAAAGTAAAGAAGAAGAGGGCGTTAAACAGAGTGGAAATCACAACTGAGAGCAGTGTATAATCCTCTAACAGTGCCAGGTTAACTCAAAATCGCATTCACACAGTATTCAGTCTATTGCACATTACACTTCTTCACTGAGGCTGTTTATTCTTTTTCCTTTCGACGATGAATCGCCAACAGTCCCTGGAGCTGCGAATCCAAAATTTCTTGATTAATTGTGCTGGCCAAGTGCTAAAAAAAACCAACCTCGCCAAATTAAAATTAAAAAAATAAAAATAAAAACATGACGGCAGAGCGAGACCTGGGCACTCGTTCAGTATGTTAAAGGTTAGAAGTCATTTCTAATTATTACTTAATTAGATTTTTTTTTTCTCTCAAAAGTCTATAAAACATCAGCAGGATTTTTTTTGTTTGTTTGTTTTAAAAAGCAGAGTAAAGAAAGGCTTTCCGTCGGCAGCCTTGCCTCGAGAAGCTTTATACATAAATAGAAAATTAAAAAAACACGCGAAAGATTAAATAATCGGACGAATGCAACGGTGGAAAGCAGGAGTTTAAATTAAGACGGCAGAATAGAGAGAAGTGTGCAGGGAAAGTAGGGAGGAAGGAGGTTAAAAGCTGTTGGCACGAGGGGAAAAGGGCCAGGAGAGGAAAAGGGGAGCTGTCCTCCACGCTTCAGTCTCTTAGGTGCTGCTAGTAAGGGCCTTTAGTGTGTCCGAAGATCCCGATGGGGAAGTGTTTGACGTGCGACGACCACTGAGCCGCCAGCTGGAAAAACTTGACATCGTTCCACTCGACGCCATCGATCAGCACTGCAGAGGAGGAGGAGACACACAACAAACATTTAAACTGTAATAACCATCCTGAGCAGCCCTGGATATGAAACACTGCCTCTGAATGTGTCCCCAGTAGAGCTACAACCACCTTGATGACTTAGTTTATCATTGTTTTTTCCATGAAGTGACTCATCTTTTGGTTTCAGAAAGTCAGAAACTTTAAAAAAATGCTTATATTTTTTTTAGCAATAGTCCAAAAACACAGAAACATTAAATTGGCAATAACATTAAAAAAAATGGAAAAGCAGGAAATTTTAGACTATATATTTGTGACTTTATCGAACTTTTAGTCAAAAATGTACTTAAACAATAAACTAAATATTAAGGTAACTCTGTTGATTACCAGACTTCAC